TCGATTATGTGCAAGAGGCTTTCTACAACGTCAGGGTATCGACTACACCGAGACATTCTCACCGGTAGTGAGATACGACTCACTACGACTGCTGTTAGCACTCGTCGCACAAGAAGACCTTGAACTCGGACAGTTTGACGTAAAAACGACGTTTCTATATGGTAATCTCGACGAGGAGATACTCATGGAGATTCCAAAGGGGTTCAATGGAAAGTGTGTGAACAACAACACGAATGTAGTGTGTAGTCTAAACAAATCGTTGTATGGCTTAAAGCAAGCACCTCGGTGCTGGAACAAGAAGTTCAGTAGTTTCTTAAAACGTTTCGAGTTTACGGAAACCAATGCGGACAAATGTATTTATACTGGCTGCTACGAAAATGAAATTGTGTATTTCGCGCTGTTTGTAGATGACGGGCTCATCGCGTGCAAGTCCAAAGAAGTTGTTAAACAGATAACGGCATTATTGAGTAATAAGTACGAAATCACGAAAAGCGATGCAAGTTGTTTTATAGGTCTTCAAATAAGTCGCGATCGGGCACGAAAATCACTGTTTATTCATCAAAGCGCGTATGTAAAACGAATACTCGACAAGTTCGGCATGAACAAAGCGAAGGCTGTGAGTATTCCTTCGGATCCTCACACAAACTTGAGTCCGGTAGAAGCAAGCGAAAATGTGACTAATGTGCCTTATCGGGAGGCTGTAGGATCACTCATGTTTCTAGTCATTGTGTCACGGCCAGATATCGCATTCGCGGTAAATAACGCGAGTAAATTCCTAAATAATCACGATCTAAATCACTGGCTCGCTGTAAAAAGAATTTTCGCCTATCTAATCCAAACGGTAGATTTAGGAATTGAATATCGAAGCGGCGGAAGCGAATACGACTTAGTTGGTTTCTCCGATGCGGATTACGCTGGAGATTTGGAAACAAGAAGGTCAACGACCGGTTATATATTCAATTTTGCGAATGGACCGGTCACGTGGTCTTCACGTCGACAAAAGATGGTAACGTTAAGTACCACGGAGTCTGAGTATGTCGCCGCATCGTCCGCTGCAAAAGAAGCCAAGTGGCTCCGAGGTCTGTTAGATGATATTGGACATCGCTGTAGTAGTGCCACATTGTTGTGTGTTGATAACCAGAGCTCTATAAAGCTAGCGAAAAACCCAGAGTATCATCAGAGGACAAAACGCATCGACATCCGATATCATCATATACGAGAGATGATTGAAAAAGGCGAAATTCGAGTCGAATATATTGCGTCTGAAATATAAAAGGCGGATATATTAACGAAAGCTCTGCCGAAAGAGAGATTTAGACGTCTGCGAGGTAGTATAGGGATGCGTGTGAATGTAAACAAGCACTCAAGCGGCGGAAGTGTTGAATCAGCTTAGTGTGTTTGTGTGAGTAATGTAAGAGCGCTATCGATGTTTAACGAAAAGGCCCGAGTGCCTCCGTGTCATGTCTCGACCGTTTTTGTTATTCGGGTTGACCGTTGCGTTGCCATGTTACTCTAACAAAAACAAAAGTTAGACTCTTGCATCGTTGCCATGCGAGTCAGTCTCGTCTCGTCTGTTCATCAATAAAGACCTTTTTTTTTCTTCTTCAAAAAGCAAATTGAACTTAATAACTGATTAAAACATCAACATAACTAAATTATTTTCTATATCTTTGATGTATTCTATTGTTATTTTTTCCTTATTAGTAACGTTATTCGGTAGATTAAAACGTTGATCTAATTGTACGAGGGTAAGTCAATAAGTTCTTAGAAAATCTGTCAGAGGGTACTCATAGTGTCATGTCATATTACTTTTTGACAAGTAGCATCTTTCAGCTGATTACTGTCAAATTTTGAGCGCAATTTATCGCGTGGTTTCATATTTGTAGACAATTAAAGCGATACAACCTTTGTATTTTTTGAAAAATAGAAAAAAAAAAGTTTTGTGCAGTGATCAAACATCTACATATGAAAAGTTTAACGCCGAAAGAAATCAAAGCCGAGTTGGATAATATTCATAGCACATCTGCACCAGCGTTTGCGACTGTATACAATTGGGTGAATGAATTTAAACGTGGTCGTACATCCACATGTGATGCACCTCGTTCGGGACATTCAATTGAGGTTGCTACGCCAGAAATCATCAATCCAGATGAATTTCTGCGTAGATTTATTACTGTGGACGAAATATGGATCCATCACTTCACACCCGAGACGAAGGAACAGTCAAAACAATGGACTTCACCGGATGAACCAGCTCCGAAGAAGGTGAAGACCGTGAAGTTGACCGGAAAGGTGGTGATGGCCACAGTTTTTTGGGATGCACGCGGTATAATTCATATCGATTACCTTTCGTCGAAGCAAACGATCAATGGCGATTATTACGCAGCCTTATTGGATAACATTTTTAATAACATTTTAATAACATTTTAAATAACATTTTAAAGAAAAAAACGTCCCCATTTAGCGAAGAAGAAAATGCTCTTCCATCAAGACAATGCACGGGTTCACACATGCCTGGCATCGATTCCGTTACAAATTGCTTTCCCATCCAGCATATTCGCCAGATTTAGCCCTCTGCGACTATTTCCTGTTTGCAAACCTGAAGAAATAGTTTGGAAGAAAGAGATTTACCACCAGAGAGCAGCTCATCGTTGAAATAGAGGCTTATTTTGAAGGGTTGGAAATCATATTATTCGGACAGCTTGAAAAACTTGGAGAATCGTTGGATCGAGCTGAAAGGAGACTATGTTGAGAAATAAAAATGAATCGATTAAAAAAATGTGTTTTATTATGTTTTTTTAAAAATTTATTGACTTGCCCTCGTAATATGAATTTAGCGTTTTTAGAAATATCAATATTACTGAGGTTGATCAACTAGTTATTGTTTATGTTGTTTAATTTATATTCAAACACAAGTTTCTCCGAACTGACATTAATATGATGTGTAACGGTAGAATTGTTCCCTCTAATGTCTTGTGTTAGAATTTTATTAATTTTTATCGGAATGAATTTTTTGTGACAATCTCTAATAAGCGGTTTTGTAGTGGCAATACTATAAGTATAATAATATTTTTTATATTCTCATTATGAGTACGTAATTTAGCAGATCTTAAAATATCTATTTTTTTATTAATATTATAATTTTCTTTATCTTAATTTTTTATAACATTGATTTCTTGACGACGGAAAAAAATACAATAAATATCAAACGGAAGCGACGAATTAACAGTTCTATAATTAGTGAAAAGTTCGTATTGTAAATGTGATAGTTGTCTATAATAATTTTTGGATAAAATTCTGTCTGAGTCTATTTATCCGTTGTATGAAAGAGCGATGGTGTATGTTAAGTTCATGTGCAAAATTTTAATGGCTTTTGTCTTCAATGGAGTAAGCGGAAGCAATACGGCTAGATCACGTCGTGGAATTTTCTATGATCAGTGGTTAGAGTCTTAAGATGTTCTGGGGACTTCGCGCAGTCGGCGATGCGTGGCGAAATAAATCGCAATACAAGACACGAAGAATAAAGAGTAGAGTCCTATGTATGAGAGAAGCGACATTCATCCCCATTATCACCTCTAGTACAGTTCGTAGCAGGAATGCCTGGGATTCGATTTTAGGGGTCCACGTTTCAGTCTTATTTTTACATTTATGACTGTTAAAATCTGATACGACCGGATGTTACGTCAGCGATCATGACAATTTAGTTGAAAATACAAACATTCAAATGCAAACGACCGATCGTAAAAAGTTTTTCAATTACTTCAGAATGATACCAGAATTATTTGAAGAATTGCTAGCATTAGTTAGATCACATATTGTGATAAAACGAACAAGAATTAAGTCATATCGAAAAATAAGAAGTGTCCAAAACGAATTTGAGAAAATTTTCGATTACATATCGTGAAAGCTTGATACTTTCCCTACAAAATCGTTTTTTTTAAATATTCCTACGACTTTTGATTACTGAGTTATCGCGGATTAAATAAAAGAATTATTTTGACTTTAATTGCTCATAACTCCATTAAAAATTGTCGTATCGTATAATTTAAAAAAGAGATTTTTAAAGCTGAAACTTTACTCTATCAAGATATATTTATATTGTTGGTAAGAAAGTAATTGCGGTTTTTACTGATAGATGTCTTTTAAAAAAACGCGATGACTTTTTACTACACTTAATATTTAAAAAAATTTATACTAATGTGAGTTTGTCATAGCCCATGCCGCAAACCGCATGCAAACCGCGCTCCATGTAATATCAGCGCAAGAAATAGACGGTACGTGGTACGCGGTTTCCTAATTGCCTAGTTAGTTATTATTAGTTACTATATCGTGTATCACGCTCCAAGTAATCGCACCTTAAGACAGTGGGTATATTCCGAACCGGGTTAGCTTAGCTTATTTTTTCCCCTAGATGTTAGGTTTTCCCCTAGGTAGTTCTATAACTAAAGTGTTCCAATAGAAACCAGTAACTGAATTTGACGGCCGATAGATTCGGAACACATCTCGGTTTAGTTACGGAATTGCTAACATAAAGGCAAAAATAAGGTAAGCATCCCGGTTCGGAATACACTCTATAACTGCATTTCATTTAACACTCACAATGTTCGTAGAATTATTTCATTCTTGTTTATTAAATGTTAAACAAGGACGAACGATGCTCACGAGCGTTGCAAGCGTTATGCCTAATTCACACTAAACGCAGCAAGCGTCAAGCAGCGAAGCAGCAACCAACCAGCTAGGCGATATTGTTTACGCCTTTGTAAATATCGCCTTACTGATTGGTTGCTGCTCCGTTGCTTGATGCTTGCTGCATCAGTGTTGAATTAGGCATTAAGGTGCATTTATATGCAAGCGTCAAGCAGTCAAAGTAGCAACCAATCAACGATTTTTACAGCGTGAAAAATATTTTTTTTTCTACATGACTTTCCGTATCGTTTAGCTGATTGGTTGCTGCTTCCGCTGCTTGACGCTTGCATGTGAATGCACCTTTAAGAAGAACGCAGCCTGAATATAGCTTTGGTTACATGGAATACTCGGGATTGTAAAACTCTCATTGACTATTGTTGCTTATACGAAAACAAAACCAAACAAAACTCAAGCCGATTATGCCGGCTGATGCCGGCCTGACATTTATGATCAGTACACACGTGCTGAATATCGGCGAGATATCACGAAAATGCCGAGGGTACGTAATGAGAATATAGCGGTTATATTTAATTAATAATTACGTTACTTTATTTCAATTTCTTGAATGTCAAACCGAAAATCTCACGCACGTGTTATTTCCGTAGGATATCAGATCCTACTTTGCTCCGGTCGCGACTTCACAAAAGAACAGCAAGCCTGTCGCTCCAAAATCTCAGAAGCGACGGATTATTTCGTCTTCGTCAGACGAAGACGAAGAGAAACCACAGTCCACAAAACGTTCCACGGTATTGTCTTTTGTTATTTGCATATTTTTTATTTCATAATCATAGTTACTCTTATAATTCTCTTTATTGTTTACAATAATGTCAATATAGATAGTTAACTCTATCATTAACATGAATTTTAACTTTTTCGTTAGCAATAGAGGTTTTCTAGGAACAATAAATTTCTTTATGTTTCAAATTATATAAAAAACTAAAAACTTTTTGGTACTTATCAAAGTATTAACAAGTTTTGGTACTTATCAAAGCATTAACAAGTTTTTACCATTATACAAATTTAACTGTATTTTATTTATTTTTTATGAATTTAAATTTAATAAAATTTACAATCTAAATTTTAAATTTTCAATAGTATTTTTAAAGATCTCAGTTGCTGACGAGTTAATTATGATTCTCTTTGTTATTTTCAATAATACTAATTTAGATAATCAATTGTACAGGTTGTAAAAAGAAAGAAATCTTCCATCCTATCTGATTCTGAGGATGAGGAAAGGATTGTTAGAGATGATAAAAAAGATTCCAGCAATCCTACAGCAAATAAGAAAAGCAAAAGCAAGGAGTCACGCAAAGCGGTACCTTTTACTGAATTATTTGACAAGAAGCCGATAATGAGAGTAGAAGAGACAAAAATGAATCGAAAATTACAGAAAGTGGTAAATATTGTATTTGAGAGTACAAACAGAAAAATTAAAGAAATATCCTAAAATTTTCTGGGATTTATTCTGGAATTTATGTAGGAATCCAAATTTCATGATGATGAAGATTTTGATGCTGTGCTTAAACAATTGGATGTAGTACAAGATACTCTGATACAGGATAAACAGAAGGGTAAAAACAACATTAAAAATGTGGATAGTCCTAAGAAGTCAGAAGCTGCAGTTAAGACAGGTATGTTTAAATTTAATTTATTTATTGTTCAAATAGATACTGTTACATAAATTTGACATGATAGAACATTTACAGAGGTGGCTTCTAATAAAAACAGAAAACATAATAATGGTTTGAAAGATTGCAATAATAAAACTAACAATACGAGTGAACTAAAATCTGAGGAAGTAAAATCTTCTAATAAAAATAATGTATATTCAAAAGTTACAAATTCCTCTTCAAAACAGAACTTACAAAAAGAGAAAAAAGGTAGTTCGAATGAAGACTTAGATATAAGCAGTAAGTATGATGATAGGATTTCTAAGTAATTAAATTATAATTTAAATATAATTCAATTCTATTTCTGCAGAAAAAGACAAAGATATAGAAAAGTCAAGTAGAAAAAGAGCCAAAATAATGGAAGAAAATTTATTTGAAGAAAGAAATGAAATGAAGAAACAGCGTACTATAATGTACGAAAAATATCTTCAGAGAGGCGGTGCCAGAAATCCTGGTTCGAAAGAGATCCCTACAGTAAGAGACTTTACATATGATAATAACGATGAATAGTTCTATGATAGATTAGATTTTATATAATATATTAATAAAGTAATACCATAATATCAATTTGATATTACAGTTACAATTAGAAGAAATAATATTAATAATATTAAAAATAGCATTAAAAGTTATAAAAAGCTCCAAGTAGTTACAAGATATGATGCCTTGTCTGAATCCGCAATATTCGTACCATGCGAAGCAGCTAAACGGGTAGCGCACGACGTTGCGCAGTGTCTATTGATTTTTAAAAATTAAAAGTCTATTGAAACTCCATTCTATAAAAAAATTGTTTTGTTTATAATTTAATAAGGAATTTGATATATTTTATTTAAACTTTCATAAGTGATAGTTTTTGATGGAAAAATTAACATTTACATTATTAATATCAATAAAAATTATTAATATTTTAAACAAATTCAAATAATATGAAAAAGCACTTAATTTTCCCTTTAAAACGTACTTCTATGATGATTCGAACTAGAGATATTTAACTTCAAAGTAGAATGGGTGTTGTAAAAATTCAGTTTTGAATCAGTTTTGTAAAAATTTGCGAAATGCATGTGAAAAAATGCAATGAAAATATTTTTTAAAGGGGCATAAGTTCACACATTATTTGAAATGGTGTATATATCATATAACAAAAGTTTCAAGCAGCTCAAAAAAGTACCTGTTTTGTTCGATTTTGTAAAAAATTGCTTATATAATAGAATAGAGACTTTTTTTCAATAAAATTAAGAAAGATTTTTAGAATTAATATTCTATTCTAGATTTTTTATTTAATTTTTTATCTCAGGGCGCCGAAAATTGTTTAGCCGGAGTAAGTTTCTTGATTACTGGTGTATTGGATTCCTTAGAAAGAAATGAAGCCGAAGATTTAATACAAAAATATGGTGGCCGGACCGTAAAATCTGTATCAAATAAAGTAAATTATATTATAGTGGGAGATGAGGCTGGCCCAGCTAAATTGGCAAAAGTGTTTTTTTTTACATGATTATATATACTCATATATTTTGCATATATCTCTTTTATTTTTTGTTTACATGAAATAAATTTTCAGGCTAGTAATTTAGGTATTAAACAAATATCTGAAGATGATCTCCTTGAAATGATTCGCACGAGATCAGAAGGTAAAGCTGCAGACATCAAGCCGACTAAAGCAAAATCAAACGTAAAAAAGATATTTAAAAAATTTGAGAGCGATGAATCACCGAACAAAACAAAAGCATTATTAGATTCACTTAAAAAGATAAAAATACTATCATCTTTACCAGAAAAAACCAGTGTGAATACGAAAACTTCATCAGCATCAAAACAGATTTTAGATGTTAGCAATGATACACAGAAAGCAAATGTAGATATTAATTTGACATACATGCAAATGATATAAAATGACATAAAATAACAGAGCTTAAAATATGATTGCTTTCTTGCTTTTATTATATTCTTCCAGATAGTAACAAGTATTGGATCAGAACCGTTAGTTGAGAGATATAGACCCAAAACTATGAAGCAAATTATAGGTCAGCAAGGAGATAAGAGCTGTGCACATAACTTATATATATGGCTACGTGATTGGCATCAAAATCGTCAGAATTCCAAATTCAAAGACAGCAGTATGTTAACTTTTATTATTGTTCTTTTATCAAATCTTGGTATGAAAATAAAATAAGGTTAATTAATGTGATTATAATTTCATTTCTATTTCAATAGCTAGCAAGCAAACTCACGGACAAAACTTCAAAGCTGCCTTGCTGTCCGGCCCACCGGGCGTTGGTAAAACAACAACTGTGCAAGTAGTTTGTAAAGAATTAGGATACGATCTTGTGGAATTCAATGCTTCCGACACGAGAAACAAAACACTTCTAAAAGAAGCGGTCTCAGGATTATTATCCAATACCACAATGAAAGATTATGTTACAGGTAGGCATGATATAAAATCTTGAAATAATTATACCATTTTCTTGTCTTTTACACTACGTTACAGGTATCAAACAAAAAATTACGAGCAAGCACGTGCTATTGATGGATGAAGTCGACGGTATGGCTGGCAACGAAGATCGTGGTGGCTTACAAGAATTAGTTAATTTAATAAAATATACCGATGTCCCAATTATTTGTATATGTAATGACCGATTTAATACGAAGGTGAAAACTATTTCTACGCACAGCTACGATCTGAAATATCCGAGGCTCAGAGTGGAACAGATCAGGGTATAGTTTAGTATTTAGTTATAGAATCTAGCTTGAGTAATCTTTCTTATTTAATATAATTCAAACAGCAACATAAGAAAGAGCATAAGTCTATATTCTGTATATTTTGTATACTCTTTGTTTTATTAAATTCGCTATATATTTGATACTTTATCTCTGCGCTTTAATTTTCCTGCTTTTATGCCTTTTTTATTTTGTTATTTTAATTGTCTTAGCGCTAGAGCTAAAATAACAAAATAAAAAGGGCATAAAAATCAACTTTAATCACACATTGTCCCTAATTTGATATACTTTGATTTCTCTACAGAGTTCTATGAAGTCTCTGTGCTTTAAAGAGAACATCAAGATCTCAACGGAGGATCTCGATCGTTTAATCGAATCGACGAATTATGATATTCGACAAGTAATAAACCATCTGGAGTTTCTCGGCACTCAAATGACTCACGTGAAGACAACTGATAAAAAACATTCAAATAAGAACTTTAAGCTCGGTCCATTCGACGTTACAAAAATAGCATTCAATGCAGATGAGCAAAAAAAAATGAGTCTGAATGATAAGATCGGTTTATATTTTCATGATTACAATATAGCGCCTCTTTTTATACAAGAAAATTACCAGGGAGTTAGATTATCTCAAATATCACTGTAAGTATATCGCTACTTTTATGAAGCTGCTTTTAAAGTTCAAGAATTAAGATTTGTTACATTTGCAGTCGTCAAAGGTTAGAAAGAATTGCCAACGCGGCTGATAGTATATCTCAGGGCGACCTCGTCGAGAAGGTGATGAGAAGTAATATGATGTGGAGTCTACTTCCATTGCATGCTTGTTTCTCATTCGTTATACCAGCTAGTGAAATGTCAGGAAGCTCTGACGGATTGATACGATTCCCGAGCTGGTTTGGGCGAAATTCGAAGACAACAAGGTTTAATCGGTATTATAAAATATTGACTTTTATTATTATTATGCGATCCATTATGATTGTATCGAACTTCATTAGCAGCACTTTGTTCGCTGTGTATTATTTCCAGATTATTGCAAGAATTGACGACGCATACTCGATTAGCTACGGGTGCAAACAAGGATGCCCTGAATATGGATTATTTGCCTTATATTCGAAATGCTATTGTAAAACCTTTGATAGATAATGGTTTAGATGGTATAGAAGAGGCAATAAATATTATGGGAAAGTATCATTTAACTAGGTTCGTATTTTATTTACATTGAATGCACAATACTGGAAGACACAAAGATACATATGCTGATATTTCATTTTTCCTTAGGGAAGACTTGGATTCAGCAATAGAAATTTCTCTTTGGCCAGGAATGTCCGATTCGACGAGTAATCTTGATAGTAAAGTATGTGCAATATTAATATATTAATAATAATGAAGATTTTTTATTGTGATAACTTCGTATTGTAAAGATTTTAATTAATGTCACTAATATATCAGGTAAAAGCAGCGTTTACACGCGCATATCAAAAGAATCCTCCTATGCTGCCGTACGCAATTAATAGCACTACTACAACAAAGAAAAGATCTAGACAAGATAATGATATTATAGGAGAAGAAGAAGATGGTGAGGAGGAAGAAACTGACGATATTGATTTTGATAAGATGATTAAGGTAGTATTAAAAATTATTTTCACAATTCCATTATAAAATATATCAATTTTTTGAACAAAAAAGATAATACGTAATATATTTTAGGCAAAAAAACCTACTGTTGCTAGTACTAGCAAAGCTGCTTCATCAACAAGAAAACGCGGCGAATCAGCTAAGAAATGTGGGAAAGTACGCGGTAAAGGAAAATAAGAGACAGAGTAAAAAGACAGATAGTAAAAGAAGAATGCATGTTTTATTTGGAGAAACTTGAAAATTAATCACGAACATTTGTTCACTACTCAAATTAATCGAAGCGTATGATCGTGAAGTGATTTTTATACATTAGATTTATTGCATCATAAAAAATGTAATACTTGGCTTTCGTTTCAAAATATACTTTCTATTTTCTTATTAGATTTATTGTATTACAAAAAATCAAACATCTGGCATTGTTTCAAAATATATTTCTTATTGTCTTATTAGTGGAGAATGTTATTCTAAAGGCTCAATAGCTGTAATTCATAAGCTCTCCTCTCGTCTGTACACATTCTAAAACGAAAAAAAGAGCAGTTAGAATGGTATGTCCCAGTTGCTATAAAAATAGCTGATATAAAATATACATAATATATGAAAATAAAATTTTATGAAATATTTTATATATTTATGATGCGTACGTTTTTTACTGGGTTTCCATCCAATGTATTCATTAGTTTTCTTATTTTCTTCGATCAGCCAATCAGTCAAAGGCTTAAAATATTCCAAAAGTCCAGCTGCATCCATTTGCCTTTGACCAGAGATCTTCTCCATCGCGTCTTGCCACGGTTTCGAAGAACCCAACTCCAGCATAGATCTAACATAAATGCGTTCAATACCTCTATACTCGAATTGTATTCTTATAATGGTGCATATCAGACTTACTTTAACAGATTTCCAGCATCCTTATTATCGTAAATATCACATTGACTCAACGGTTTGGCATTTGGATTGCTCGGATCATATTGCTTCGCCTCGATGCATAATGCCTTGTGGAACTGAAACTGTATCACAAAACTTACAAAGTATCTTATATACTCGACGCCCGCAATTATATGATACTTTGAGCCAGGATCGAAGTCTTCTTCCGATCTATCTACGGGAGGTTCGATGCCCTGATATTCCTCGGCGAGTGTCCACCTTAAAGTAAACAATTTTTTAACTTGTTTCAAATTTTTTTCAGTTCAATTTTTTTTGGAAATTCGATTTAATGCATTTTTATTCGAGGAGAAATATTATTGAAAAAAGAAAGTAATACAGAGGGATATATTTTTGTTATCTAGAACACTGACCAGTTGCAGTTATAATTGTCCGGCGTGACTTTTCCCTGGAATACGTTCCAACGCCATCGGTCCATCATATAAGCGAATGGCAGGAAAACAATCTTGTCAAGACTCTTCATATAGAGGTGATTGAGGAATGCCTCCCGATCAGTCGAGTCATCCGTCAGTAGACCGATCTTTTTGAGATGACTGGGAGTAGATACGCTGAGAGAAATAACATCACCAACCGCCTCGTGGAAACCTGGATTCGCGCCCTCCTTGAAAACTACAGGTTGATTCTTGTACTGCAAGTAATACTCGATATGACCCATCTCATGATGCGCTGTTAGCAAGTCTTCCATGTTAACGCGCGTACATTGCTTGATCCTGAAATCTTCGCCATCGTAGAAGTCCCATGCGCTCGCATGGCAGATCATGTCTACACCATGCTTCTTTGTCAGAATCGATTTTTTCCAGAATGTGTCCGGCATGGCAGTTAAGTTAATTGATATGAAGAAGTTTTCAGCGAGGCGGAACATGCTTGTCGCATTGTAATCTGTTTAAAGAATTATGAAGCATTACAATGGATATATAAGCGTAAAGAAAGCTGAAAACAAATTAATTCTTTAATAGTATTGAAAGACTCAAACATAAACTTGCCTTGTTCTACCAAAGCGGCACTAACATCCGGCAGTTGTTTGCCCGAGAACGGTACGGTGAAATTTGCAATATTCCAAGTCTGAGCCCAGGGATTGCCCAATAGATGCGCTGGGATCGGGCCGTCCTTGGAGACGATATCTTCGCCGTATTTCTTCCTGAGCTCGCGTCGTACGTAAGCATGCAGTTGTAAATACAGTGGCTTCAGTTGTTGCCATTGAGTCTCTGTACAAATTTTGTTGCTCCGTTAATGCTATTTCAATGAACGATGCTGCAGATAATCTTACCGATTTGTTCAGGGAAATCATCAGCCTCGTAATCCTTCATCCAAAATGCTGCATAGTCAGAGAAGTTGTTGAGTGTCGCCACGGTGTTGGCTAGCTCAACATATTTGGAGTACAGAGACTTGACTTTCTCGCCTGATACTTTCCTCCACTCCACCCAAATATGCTTCAGCTCCTCAGAATCGTGACTATTTTTTGATATCTCAATAATTTCTGGCTCAAGCGCAAGATCACACTTGCTCTTGTTATGATAATCGCAGATCTTTGCGGTGCTATAGATGTTCTCCATTTTACTCACCGTCATCTCAAATTCGTTATAATTCTGCAATCACATATCACTCGGTAATGATCTAACTTACTCGCAATTTTGATCAATGAAATGAATTCAAGTTTTCGCTATACAGCTTAGTTGGAAAATTGTTAAATTTAACACATTTCACGGTACATATCTCAAACAGTTCACCCAAATTTTTGTGTTAATTTAATACAAGATGAATATATTAAGAATTAACACAAATTACAAATGTTATATAAAAAATTGAGACCCTTGAATACTTATCTCAGCCATATCGTGACGTTATAAGTGAGAAATGTATGTTGATTTTTCTTGCATGCCCTTTGTAAATAAAGATAAATTGGATAAAACGGAATAATGAGATTGTTGTAAAATACTTGTAAAAATGTGCTAAGGTTGTCATCCCTCCTGTGATAAAAGGCATATAAAGTGAGATTATTAATTTTTATTCAATGCGCATGCGTAATCCATTTTCACTTCACGAATGTTTTTCGACTATTTACTGAATGTCAGAGGGGATAGTCTCAATATTCATTTTTACAAGTGTTTTACAGTAATTTCATTATTTCATTTTATTCAAACTGTCTTTATTTACAAATGGCATGCAAGAAAAATTAACGTGACATTTCTCGCTTATGACATTACGATTCTGTATGGTTGAGGTGAATGATGAGTGCTTTCCAATTGCTTAACACATCTTGACGACCGTACCTAGTAAATAATTTTTTACACATTAATATGTATAAATATGTATAAACAAACATAAATATTCATAACATATATAGTCATATATGAAATATGTCCATACATATTCATACATCCCTTTTTCTTTTGTAATATTATCTTTTATTGTAATAGAAATATCAATAGTGAAACACATACAAAAATAATTAAAGAGATAATCTTTGCATTGTTTTAGAAAATAGAAAATTGTTAAAAAAAATTGCTCATACACAATTATGCATAATTTTATATATAATTATACATAAATAATTTTTTTACATTTCTTCACACTTGATTTTTTCTAAAATAAATAGTGTGAAAATTATTCTTTTAATTATTTTTAATGTTTTCACATTACTATATTGTTATTTCTGTTACACTATATAAGAGTAGTTTTACAAAAAAAAGGATGTATGAACATGTATGGACATATCTCATATAAAATTATGTATATTTACGAATATTTATGTATGTTGATACATATTATGCATGAAAAATTTTTTACTGAGTAGCAAGGTAATTCATATATTTTCGGTGTTAATAAATAATTTAACCCTTTTAATTATATTTTATTCTTTATTGTCACGATAGCCTCATAAAAGAATAAAATTATTTAATTTATTTATTAACACTATGTGAATTAATTTGCTACGTTTGTATCAAGATGTATCAAGCAATTGGAAAGCACTCGTTGGTATGTATTCAAGAGCCTTAACTCGCAATACTGACACAATTTGTAAGCAAATTGTGAAGGAGTTATTTCTTTAGTAAAATCAATAGTATATTAAATTAAAGGAATCCTAAAGCTGACTAAATGGTAATTTTTGTATAACAATTTTTTTCTCTTTTACAGATTCGAAACTCCTTTTCCAGAATTGAAGCATACGCATTAATAAACGTGTCTGTAAGGTAAAGTTTATGCCAAGAATGATAAAACATTTCGGAATTGAAATCTTAAGAAAATTTTGTGTCATTCTCGGCATAAACTCCACCTCACAGACACATATTAATGCATATATTTCAAACCTGGAAAAGGATTTTTGAATCTGTAAAAGAGGAAAAAAGTAATACAAAAAATTAATTTTTATGTTTACTTGCTCATAAATTGTAACATTAATGAGAGAACAAGCTATATTCAGTGATACCAAAAAATAAAATTACCAGTCGAAAGATCATGTTTGGTGTAAATATTCTAGATGGTAAAATCTTGAGATCCTGTACTATATGGATTCTGTACTTTACTTGGACCGAAATATGTTTAGCTATTTTAATTTAGATACTAAAATGGCTAAACATGTTCTGATCCAAATTGATCACAGGATCCTATGGATCCTGTGAAGATTTGACCAATCCATCTAAAATACATATTTTAGACGTAATCTTTCGACCGATAATATTAATTTTTTATATCATTTTTGCAACATAGCGTTACCTTGTAAGAAATGTTGAATAATCAATTTAATACTAAATATTTAAATACAATCGTTACTAAATATTCAAATACAATATACAATTACGTTAAATTAATACTCGAATGTACTAAAATTCAATACAAAACAAAGAATGATTTTAACTGTGCAAATACAAAATGTTTTTTTACTGTGCTATTTTTTGCAAGAAATGTATTATTAATAAATGAAAATGATATAAATGTCTATATATTAGGTCGGGGGAAAAGTTTCTTTGTATTAAAGAAAATTTTTTTGCAAAAGTTTTTCATTTGCGAAATTTTCGTTACAATTATATCATACGCTAGAGCAAAGTTTAAAGAATCAGCTTTAAGAATCTGTTTTTTAAATTGCAGTATGATGATTTTTATCGGAGTTACGAGCAATCAAAGTTAGAATAATCCTTTACTTAATTTGCGAATAACTCAGTAATAAAAAATTATAGGAACATTAACATTAAAAAAAAATGATTTTGTAGGAAAAGCTTCAAGCTTTCATGATAGTTGAAAATTTTCGTAAATTTTTTTGAACATGTGAGAGCTCCAAAGTAAAAAGAAAATTTTTTATCTTTTTCAACTCGTAGTTTTTTGTAAAAATTACCAAATGTAAAAATTACCAAACTCACAGAAACTTAAAAAATATAATAAAGTAGAGATTTCAAGCTTTCGGAAGTAAAAATTTCAAGCTTTAAAACCCTTTTTTTAAATTTAAATTTTGTTCATTTTTGAACAAAAGAACGAAGACAAATTGTATATACAATATCAAATATTGCATATACAACAATTTTGAATTAAAAAGTACGAAGAAACTTTTGGCTCGACCCAATATATGTCGACAATATATGTTTACTTGTTCAGGGAGAGCGGCGACACCGAGTATACTGAGCTTTTTAAACTGTCTCTTCATAGAATCATTTTTCAAGTCTCTCCAAGGAAAGTCATTCACTATTTGAATAATATGTTTGGTAACGTTTGCCCCCTCTGCCGACCATTTCAACTTTTCTGCCAGATTCTCCGTCGTTAGATTTGATGCATAATTCCATGCAGTGACACTTTGTTTATTATTCCATTTTGCATACTCTGCGTCGATTCGTTTCAAGAGTTCGTGAGCGCTTTTTAGAAGATCGTCGGTAGTTTCGTGATTTTTGCTGATATCTACTGCGTCTTCAGTTGTTGGTTTGGCTGCCACTAGAGTTACAACTACTGCTCCCAATATTCTAATAACAATAAGAATCTTATTTTAGACTGTAAATGTGAGAAACACAATTAATAGATTAGAAGCCTATAACAATCAAAGCTGGATCTTTAATGCTTTAAATAATTCAATGTGAATTTTATATATATATATA